CCCTTGGCGAGTTCGTTGCCTTCGTAATAAATTGCCGGTGGTCCCTAGTGTGTAAGCTGGTCTCTTTTAATTAAGCTAGAGATGGAGCTCAATTCGAATCTTTTGATTGAATAGACTATCGCTTATAGTGGAGGAGAACTTATCGTCTTATGCCGTCTTGTATTTGATCTTTAGCACGTATTCGGGTGATCGAAAGACATTACTCAAATTCGGGCACCCGAAGCAATATCGAGCCGTTACCGCCAAATTATCGTAAGCGACACTCGCCAAATTATCGTAAGCGACACTTTTGTCGAAATGCGTTTTTTGTGGAAACTAATATTTTAAACCGTAACGGACCCATCTCTGTTGATATTTCCCTCTATTCTTCCCTCTATTATATTACGGTTACGGTTTAAAATATTAGTTTCCACAAAAAACGCATTTCGACAAAAGTGTCGCTTACGATAATTTGGCGAGTGTCGCTTACGATAATTTGGCGGTAACGGCTCGATATTTTCACTGGAATCCGGGCTGGAAGACGGTGTCGGGTAAACAAAAGGAAATCTACCCGAATACGGGCGTACTCCACTCCGTTCATTTACAAATGAAATGAAATGAAATTTATTTATTCACACAAAACAGAGTATATACATTTTGGTGGTGATTTTCATTTAGTTCGTCCATTTTGCCAACGACAGGGCACGTGAATGTCAAACTTAATTTAATTCTAAAATTTAAAGGTAGGTACTTTATGTTATTTTACTTATTCTATTCTATGATAATTTTCGTTTCTAAATATTCTCTAACTGCACATTTTAAGCTGCCTTTTAAATATAGGCAAACTAAGCTCCGTTATCAAGCGTGGTAACTTATTATAGATTTTTATACAATTCGGATAGCAGTTTTTATTGTAATATTGAGTACGCATATTGGGTAACATCAATCAACAGTTAGTAGTTTACCCGAATTCTATTGGCATTCGTATTTGGGCTAACGATCAAGTGCAATCCAGCATGTATTTAATGTTACATATTTCGTGAATCACCTCATATTAGGTGAACATTTTTTTTTCATGCTAATTGATATTCTAAATTTCTTTTCTTATTTAACCCTATCAAAAGTTCCCAGTAAGGGCATTTATTTGTTTGATGAGCATTTATTACTATGTATTTCTTTGCGAGATATTTTTTTACTTTTAATTTAAGTTTCCATAGAAAGTCTCAGTTTATTTATGAAAATTTGATGTATGTTTGCTTTGCTTACTATGTATTTTACTATATGTTTTAACTATATGATGCAATAAAGAGTATAATATGTTAGAAGAAAGATTAATTTATTTCCTATTAATTAATAGTGATAAACAGTCGCTTAGATACTAGAAATAAAAATAAACAAGCTGTACCAATTACTAGGCTCCACAAAATCAATAATTCATTTAAAGGTCTTTGTGTACGCTTCTACAATAAAGTCCCTAGCAATATCCAACAATTGAGCGTCAATTTTAAAGCTGCTATTAAAAAGTTCTTATGAATAAAGTGTATTATAAGTTGTCTGATTATATTACAGACAAAAATGCTTGGGTTTAAACTGTTCCAAACATTCTTACAGGTTGTTTTTATAATTATAATAAAGATGACATAATTTTGTATTGTCACTGTAACAATATAATATTTTGTAATTATATTGTTACAAGATTTGACGCTGTGAAGTAATTTTCACCCATTTTTCTCCTTCAGCTAAAAAATGTCCTTAACGAGTGATAGGGAAAAAATATGGACGATTCAAAAGAGTTGTATTAATTTATTTATTTATTTAATTCAGGTAACAAACAGTCTTATACAAACAATTTTACAATTTATGTTTACAAATAGACCTAAAGTACCATTAATTGATAAACAATTAATTAATTGATTAAGCATCCTATTTGAAAAAAATATATTTTAAATTGAATAAAACTTCAATGCCTTTACATTTCTCTGCCGCCATAACCCTCTTGAACTTAGGGTTAATACGCCCCTGTCAACAACATACACTGCATACATTACACCCTACATTCGCATTCCAATAATCTGCGGTTATCCAAGACGCTAAACTGGGTTACTAACTAATAAGCTGAATGTGACACACTAACTAATCGTGTCTAAGAAGCCTCCAATGATTCGCTGAATTGAGGGAGAGAAGCACCCCCGCGGAGAGCTATTGAATCTATTAACAAGGCCTTGTCCAGTCAGTACTTTTTATCAGGTCGCACTGCGAGCGGAAATTGAAACAAAGTCCGCTTCCTACATTTTTTCTGTTATGGAAATATTAAGAAAAGCCTAATACGAACTCTTGGTTTGCATTTAGATTAGATAAATAACGTATATATATATCGGCGGTGGAAAAGCAAATCCGCTTAAGCATCACTTTGGTCCAAAATGAGTTTTATAATATGCAATATAAAACTGTGTATATTCTGTTTTCCTGTGTTGATCTGTTGTGTTACGTAATAATTTTGGCGCTTCAGTGTGTTTTATTTTGTATAGTTCAAAACGCTAAAGAGACGTAAATGTTGGTGGATTTTGCAACCAACTTCATTTACCATAAAATTTGACGTGTGATGTGTTTTTGCTTGACTAGAAATGTATGGCGGACCTAGTGATTTCTCGCTTAAGCCACATCTAATTCGTAAAGGTACTATGTAACTTATTAATAACATTATATTTATAAAATGATTTTTATGAATATAATATATTTTTTTCTTTTATACTTCTCATTTACAATGAATTCCTTAATTAAGTTATTGTGAAAAAAAAACAATTTTACTTTTCAACTGGCCATTTACTATTATTTTATTGACAAATCTCATCTTACACACACACAGACACACACACACACATACGATAAAATGTAATTTGAAATAGGCAATGGGAATATGACAAATATTTGTGCCCATCACCCATGATGCAAGGATTCAACCTACAATAAATTTAGATCAGAAATCTGAAGTTCTGCCATCGTTGCACCAATTAGTCGCCATCTTTATTATTGTTTAAGTTTTAAAATGTTAAATTGTTACATCCCAAGAATTTCAATAAAAGAAAAACACCTCAATGTATTAAATATCTGTTTATGAAGTCTAATAAATATTTATTAATAAAAAAATATTGTTCGCTAACAGTAAATCTCCAACTTTATCACGTAGATGCTACTTGAAGTAACCGCTCTTAAGATCAGAATATTTTCAGTCCCTTCTTGGCCTTGCCAAGGCTGTTCAGATATACTCATTTAATAACCTTGGACTTACATATTTGTGAATCGTTATTTTTTTTAAATCACTATGATATATATTTTCATAACAATACTTTTTTGGTGAAAAGTTCTTTTAAACGTAGAATTTGCACAGTTTTCATTATTTTCCTGTGTCAAAAACTGGTACTCAACGTATTTTTTCTTGTTTTGATTAATGCACACGCGTGATAAGAAAAAGTACTATATACTTCAATTTTCCACGGCATTTTGCAAACGCCCGGTTGGAATGTGTATGAATGGTTTTTTATAATGCGGGATCCTAAAACTTGCCTGCGACATCTACTACTCTTTTACGTTTATGACGCTGTCCCGCATGTTGGATCCAGTAAGATGGATACTGCGTAGAGGATATAAGATATAAGGATATTTTAATGGATTTAGAGCATAATTTACTAACCAATTTTATTCCTATCGTTTTGGATCCTATGCGGGCTCCTTGGTCGATAGGTCTTGCAAATAATCTTTGCATAGACAACAAAGTCGCTCCTGCTGTATGTACGTTTGGATCTCTTAAATTACGAATGCAATTTTCAGCAGCAATAGATAAAGGATTTAAGAGAAAGGTTGTTGTTGAATGTATAATATATGTTTCAGAACAAAACTATACTCTTCACCGAAGTTAACATCGGCTTCGGCGAGGGCCGAAGTTTACCAGTTTCAAAATTTATGGTGACGAAATTCAGTTTCAGAAAATAAAGTTGGTAAAACATTTATACAGGTGGTAATAAACAAGGAGCAAGCAAAGTAGCGCGGGCGCAGTGAACTTATGTACGACACGCGGTCCGGTGACTCACGCACCATTCATGACTGCCGCTGAAGGCCAGAATGCGAGCTTCCTGCTACGTCGATTTCTCATTGGAACGAGTACAGAAAGCTTGTAATGTCTTTGTGTAATGGAATTGCAACTAATTAGATAGACGTTTTAGATCACCATAGTATTGGTTATCACAGAAACAGGGAGACCTTCATGATTTTCGTTTCACAAAAATTTAACGAACTGAGAAACAATCGCTTTTCAGATCGTAAAATTTTGGTGTCTCTGAAGATTCCAAAAAATTAAGGATGTAAATATGTACTAACAATGTGAGATGAGCAAAATATACTTTTGAATACATTCTTTCAGGCTTCTAAATGATATAAATCCATACATTTTTTACAAAAAGTATATTTTTAGTTCCATTTTTTATATTTTGAGGGACTGTTAGTGCATGTTTATAAGCTTTTAAACTTGACCTTGGTCAATCATAGTACAACAATTTGCCTGGTGATGATATTTTTTTTATTTAATTTGTTTACATATTCTACGTCACCTACATTTGTATTTTGGCCATTATTAATCTAAATACCATATCGTTCGCTATTGTAATCATCTTTACACCAAAAGTACGTTCCCTTCCTGCTTGATAATTTATACCTAATTACACAAAATTAGCGTCTCAAGTCACAATTTTCAACAGCTGTTGTAGTTTTGACAGCACGCTCATCGTCACCGTTTTAATTATGTCCATTACACGGAACTTCATGATTTAAAAATATACTACTATATTCCTTTTGATTATCTTCTAACTGTAAACGTCGTTTTCAAAAGGGAACAACCTTCGAACATTCTTTAAACTATCACGTTAACATCTCGCTGCACTGTCGAGAATTGTCACAAGTCTTCGCCAACATTTCTAACCTCACTGCGATCGGTGGGTGTTAACCTTACGTTTGTGGTCTCTACGTACCCGTCTCCGCCCATATTTGTATCGCTGCCGTCTGAAGCGGTCCATCCTCGGGGCCTTCGTCATAAAACCTGCATGTCACTGTCACACACACTCCAACAACACACAAAAACAACACTAATTGTGCATCTTAGCGTAGGTATTTGTGATAAACTCCCGATGGGCGAGCGCGGCCGATCGCTCCGCTCTAAAAATATATGGCCGGTACTATGAGAAGATTCGGCGGTTGCGCTTGGGCACATCTGGTGTTCTACAATGACTTTCGTCAATTTACGTTCAACTTTTTTTTTGTTTCCTCCCAGGCGGGGGAGAAATCCTCTTGGATACCCTACAGCCGGCTGCAAGGTAATGTCAGACTCGTACTGACTAAAAAACACCCGTAGGGGCTGCCTCTGGCCGGGAAGGCCTCTAAGGCTTCATTGGAAGCGATCGTCCCCCAGGGGGGGAGCGACGCAGCCTACTTTCGTCAAAGGAGGGATGAGTTTATAAAGATGCGTCAACGATAAGCAAGAAAATATTCCAGTCTGACTTGACTGGTATGGTAATCAGAAGCAATGTCTTTGATTCTTAAAAATGCTAAGACTATTCCGACTTTTCAAAAGATTTTTAAAAATTAATCAACAAAAACTAGAAATACAGATATATTCTATATAAAGGCACGTACTTTGAGTGCTTGGAACTAAGATGAAAATGCCTCATAATCAGTGGACGCGACGCATAGCGATATTGCAGTATATCCAGAGAATCTCGATTGATGTCCGTTTTCGACCCGACAACTTTGCCTTGACTGCCAGCTGGTCTTAATAGCAACTGCACAAGATGGATTTTCGATTGTTCTGCTGGCACTTTACGCGTATGGATGCGAAGAACACGAGCAGTAACAGCTAACATAATTCTTGGACAGCAGTATCTCATGGTCTGCAATCATAAACGGTGATGGAATCGCGATTACCAAAAAGCATGGCACATGGTTAAATTATAGTTGTATCTAATCAAATTGTTCAAATAAAAAAACGTCAAACGTAAAAAAACGTCGTTCAAGTATCGCAAAAATATAAAATGGAATTGGAAAAATTATACCTAATTTCAATTGCAATAAAATATCCGCGATTGATTATTAGATCGTTTGTGCGTGTTAAATTAGTTTAAAGCACGGCAAAAAAAATCGCCAAGAAATAGGAATAATTACTAAAGGTTGACAGGCAGAGAATACTTCAGCATTAAGTCCGCCTTTTATACCGAATTTCGTCGTTAGTAAGGTTTTTATTTAAATCACATATTATGCAATTCGCAAGCTGCATATTAAACTGAGTTGTTTGCAAAAGTTTGGCATAACTTTGTGATTAGCAGTTCTGGTAGCAATCAATCATAATCATTATCTGTCAATTAAGCATAAGTGTAGTATTAGATTTGACTTAAACTTAAGCTTACTTGTAGATTTTTTTTAATCTACATGATGATTGCGGCTCCATTGTTATACTGTACTATAGTTCACTTTAGAAAGTTATTTATTTTTAGTATTAATCTTGCATTGAAGATCATTTACCCACTTAAGTAAAAGCAAAATGAATAAATAGGTGCTATATTTGAAGATTGCGTTTTTTGTTAGTTTTATTTTCATCTAGTTACTAGGTCTAACTATTCCTGGCATTATTCTCTAAAACTAAATTTCAAAGTAGTGTTATCCTGAAATTAAGGATAAATTATAGGAAATTATACTAGATTCAGGCTTAATCTCCATAAAAAATAGTTCTTGACGAAGGGAAATCAAGGATATTCACTTCCTAAACCTCAACGCAGGAACGTAATACAGGAAGAACGCCACCTAACAGAAAGCTCGGAAACTACGAAGTTCACCGGAGCTTTGGTGCATGGCATGGCTGCTTTTGGTAAGCTAAGGTTTGCTCGCTAGTTAGTACCGCAACGTACAGATGGCGTTAGCTACATGTAGCTTTACAGAAAGTTTTAAAAATAATAATTCTTACTTTTAATTCATAACTGATTAAAAATATTATTATATATTATATTATCACTATTGAAAATAAAAATGAACGAGAACTAAAAAATATGAAAATATATAGTTTGTTTGTATATATTGTAATTACTTAATATTAGATCATGATATCAGAGTTGTTATTAATATTATAGTTTTTTTTATTGGATACTAGATGACCCGGCGAACTTCGTACCGCCATATTTTTTTCGTGAATATTTTCACAATTCCAGGAAGCCTTGCATTTTCAGTATATTGAAATCTCTCACAGCCTTCTATCTCATTCATTCACTTACTTTTTATATAGTGACTAGCAAACCCGGCGAACTCCGTTTCGCCACCAGATGGCTTCGTTTTATGTAACATTTCGTTTGGTGATTAAAAGAAGATTTTTTTTTTAATTTTTCCTGAATTTTCTTTGCTATAAACCTCACGGAGCCGGAGACCTTTCCAACGAATGCAAAACCGTGGAAATCGGTTCGTGCGTTCTGGAGTTATAGCGTCAGGAAGGAAAACCCGACTTATTTTTATATAGTAGATTAAAAAATAGGTATTTTATATTCTATTCTCCAAACCTTGTCCCGAATACAACGAACAGAAATTTAAAATAATTATCCAGCTAGGTGCAGTCATTCGGAAGTTACGTGCGTAAGTTTCGGCGGTTCATTTTTATTTCTTGTATATTAAGATTATAAGTCACCATGTGATATATTAGGATAAAAGATCAGTTGTTAGAAGCATGATGGAGAAAGCTCCCATTGGCCATGGGCCCCGTGGCGAGTAATGAGAGAGATGTTTTTATGGACACATGTTTATTGTACGGCGTAATGTTAGTAAGTCCTGAGAACTACGTTAATCTATATACATACCTCTATATAAAAAGGAATCGTCGAAAAGTACTCGTATATATGCGCATCATTTCCGAGGCGATGACGTTAAGCCAAGCAGTGCTTAACGCTATTAACTCGACACGATATGCTCAAAATTGATAAAAGACTGCCTTGATAAACTGAATAACCTGGGTCAAGAGAATAAAGTTATTCTTAAATGGGTACGACGAGAACTAGCAAGAGCTCGGGCACATGGGCAACAGATAGGACTAGAACCTTTCTGTGGCATCCCTAGAAACTATGATACCAACTTACAATATCTATTTAACTTGCAATTATTGAGAGAGGTAAGAGCGTCGTATTTTTATTTTTGACGACTTCCGTGACCGTATGGTTTGTACGCCGGGTTTCATGGTCTCGCCGACTCGAGAGGTCCCGGGTTCGAACCTGGTGGGGGCAGATGTTTGTGTGATGAATACGTGCATTTGTACTCCAGCCATGGATGTTTAATATGTATTTCTACATAAATATACTTATATATGTACAGTACAATTGGAGAGGCCTATGTCCAGCAGTGGACTAGGATAGGCTGTTGATGATGATGATGTACAGTATATGTATTCTATCCGTTTCCCTAGTATCCCATAACACAAGCCTTATAGTGCTTACTTTGGGGCTAGGCTAATTGGTGTGTGTGTTGGAAATACTTATTTATTTCGTGTGTATGGATCAGATCATTATACAGACAACGATGGTGTATGCTTACCAAATGCTAACACAATTCGAATGACCGTAAAATTATTTATGTGATGGATGAGGAATCGTTACCATGTACCTTGTTTTGTTCAATAGCTCCGTGATCATGGCGCTTGCAACAGTGTCGAAATATCGGAAACTCGCTAAAAACAAGGTACATTGTAATAATCCCGTAAATAATTTATTTTATTATAATGTTAGTGACCATGAAAGTTTTAAACAATACAAAATGTAATTGCTTCAGTCCAGCCACACTTTTAAACGATATACTTGTGAAAGAAAACATAAAAAAGGAAAAAAAATAATGAATAAAGTGTAATGAGGTTTCTTTTATTTACCCTCAGCATTACGAAAATATTGTGATAATTCCTGAGGTATTATTAAAAACATAAACAGCTTCACTCTCCATCTGGTCCACCATCCTTATGTTGATTGTAGGTATATTTGTGAACATAGTAGCGTGCTTGCTATTATTGAATATTTTTGACTGCTCTGTGTTTGTAGACATTTAGTTGTTCAAAATAAGTTAAACAATTATGTTTATTATAAAGATTACACTAGAAAAACCCTTTTTATTAAACCTTATTTTTTATTTTTTATTAAATTTGAATCGAAATATTTCATCAACCCAACTAACTGTCGAATTAAATTAAAGACTGGCAGTATTCATTAACAATAAGCTTCACAATGGTATATATTTTGCTCCTATATAAAGAACTTGGTATATGTACCAAAACCCCCCCATACAAAGTTGTTGTTCTCCTTTACTGAGATTTGTATAAAATTACATACCATGTTTCGTAAACTGTAGTACATATTATGAGAGATGCAGTCTCGGTTTCATTGGACTTCATCCAGAATTAATAACGACGTGTTCTGGGCTACTGTAACAATGTACTCGTCATTTGTGTAGGTTGACCACAACTTTTAAAGTGGCACGTAAACCTTGAATAGTGCAAACATAAAGGGATAATATATTTCTTTCTTTATAGTTGCCGGTGATGACTATCTATATTGTTTGTAGAAAAAAATAAAAAATAATTTGAATAAAGTTATTTTAGCGTAGGTATGTACCTATATATTTAGTTTTAAGGTTTCTTTCCCAAAAGGTGACGAAAAGAGATATATTTGTTTCTCTGCCCTGAGCCAAAGACTCCTAGTCTACATATATAGGCGATACGGGAGGCTGAATATAATGAAATGGCCTATCAAGCTTGTTCTACACACTATACATAAAAAATCAATCCTTATGCGGCATCTGGGCGAAGTATGAAAAACTAAGTTGCCGAATAGTTTAATCTTTAAGTATGTACGTGGAGTCTCACTGGCTCCACGCGGTTCTCAAGTTCTTGGTTTCATATACTTCCTCCTTCGCTCCTTACACCCTCATCTCAGTACCCTGAGCATCTCAGTATCTTCACTTTTAGCAGGAAAATAGACAATGAAGTAGGAGGTTGTGTTGCTCGATGCATAGCACGTGAGTAATATTCATTTTAATGTTGACTGGAGCATGACAGTTTTCGTGATTTTTTGAAATTTTTATGATGCAAAATAGCAGAAAGTAGTAATGCCAGTTATTTTGGTTCAAAATAGCCAGAATAATAGGGAGATACCGAGCAAATTTTAGCCATAAGTCAAAGACTAAAGAAGTGTATTAAATAA